TTCTATCATATAAATCAGATTAGACCAGAACATGCACACTGCTACAGATAAGAGCCTGCAACACAGGGAATCCAGGATAGATAAACCCCTCAGGGCCAACAAGGAGAGTAGAGATACCAGGAGGATTAGGGGAGGGTGGGCGGAGAAAGGATCAAACTAGAACCCCCTCCCAGGGGGACAATTAACAGGAAAGTGGGTGAGGCACGACGGAGGATGATGTAAGATATGGAAAAAACAATCTATAACTTATCAAGGGTTTTTGAGGAAGATGGGTGAGGGAGGGAGGGGAAGAAATGGAGAGCGGATATCAGGGTGTCAAATGGGAAGAGAATGCTTTGAAAAAATGATGATGTTGGAATTTATATGCAAATGTGCTTGATACACTGGAGGAATGTATGGATTGTGATAGAGATGTAAGAGCCTCCAATAAAAGTACTAAAAAAAATAAAAACAAAAAACACTGCCATTGAATCTACTCCGACTCACAGCAATCCGCTAGGGTGTGCTACAAGTGCCACCTGTGGCTTTCTGAGACTGGAACTCTTTACAGGAGTAGAAGGCCTCATCTTTCTCCTGCAGAACAGCTGGTGTTTTCGGACTACTGACCTTGGGGTCAGCCGTCCATCATTTAACCACTACGGCACCAGGGTTCCTATGTACAGTACCAACGTCATATGAAAATGTATAATGAATATGTATGAGTCAGATATTAACTTAGTCAAATGTTTGACTATTTACAGAAAGCGGAGTTCAAGTCAGGCTTTGCCATTCTGTGAGTTCTGGTACCAGACACATAAAATATTGGATCTTCCAGAGGTTTGGGGAGCTAGGGGCTTGCCCACAAGAGATCTGCGTTTCCATTGTTGTAGCAACGGGTGAGCTGAGTCTTGCTGGGCTCAAGTTGTTCACTTGTGTCCCCCTGCCTATTAAGTGGCAGAGCTGACCTCTGGACACCATTGTATCCTATGGAACTGCCGCTGAACCAAACCCACAGCTAAAGAGCTGATTCTGTGTGGTGCTGACCCGGTAGTACAGAGCAGATCTGCTCCGTAAGGGTTCTGAGACTCAAAACCTTTGCAAGAACACCCGGCCGCCTCTTTCTGCTGCATAGCACCTTGCGGTGTCATTCACTGTGCCACCAGGGGCCCTCCCCGCACCCTCCCCACCCTGACAAACAAAACCAGGAAGTCAGAGCTCCCTATGAATCCTGTTAGCCTCATTTTTCTGTATCATCCTCCGGTGGGGGGGGGGCTCCCCCACAGGCATGGAGTCCCAGCCCTGGCTAACCCCTGGGTGTGCTGGTTGCTCTTACAGTGAGTCAGACCAACAACTCCGACTGCATCTTCATCTGCGTGATGACGGGGAAGTCTGGTGAGACACCCGACGGTCCTTGCTGAACAAGCCCAGTGGGGGAGAACCAAGCCCAGCCCTCCAGTGAGGAGGTACCAGTCTCATGCTGTCCGTGTGGTCTCTGCAGGAAGGAATCTGTCCGACTTCTGGGATGGGGCAGAGAAGTTCCCGGTTGTCAATTACACGTTCACCAGCAGCTTCGTCGGCCTGCCAGGTGAGTGTGTAGCTTTGGCTCCCCCCACCCCCCGCCCCCACCCCCATACTTTCCAAACTCCTCCGGGAAAATCTCCAACTCAGGCTACCGCCTGGCCGATTGAAGAGGGAATCCTGTCCTGGTGTATTGTACTCAGCTGGGCTGCCTTAAAAACAAAGAGTCTGGGTGTGTAGTGGTTATGTGCTGGGCTGCTAACAGCAAGGACAGCAGTTCGAGACCACCACTGCTCCTCGGGAGAAAGATAAAGCTTTCTATTCTTGTAAAGAGTTACCGTCTTGGAAATTCCCAGGGGGCAGTTATGAGTCAGAACCATTTGGGCGGCAATGAGTTTTGTTTGGTTTGGTTTTGGTGCTGCGTTAGAAACAAGGAGACCTGGTAGCATCGGGGTCAGACATTGGGCTGTTAACTGCAAGATCAGCAGTTTAAAATGACCAGCTGCTCCTTGGGAGAAAGACAAGGCTTGCTACTCCTGTAAAGAGTTACAGTCTGGGAAACCCACAGGGCCAGTTCTCCCTTGGCCTACAGTCGCTATGAGTCGGAATTGACCAGATGGTGGTGAGTTTGGTTTTTTGGTTTTGTGCTACTATGTTAGTCCGGGTAGACCAGAGAAACAAATCCATAGACACTCATATGAGTATAAGAAAGCTTTAGATACAAGAGCAGTTGAATATTGAGAAAACATCCCAGCCCGGTCCAGATCAAGTCCATCAGTCCGATCTTAGCCCATAAAGTCCCCTTCAGACTCATGCAATGATGCCGAATGCCGGAAGATCACAGGCCAGTGGGTGGGTGGGAAGTCTTATGGATCGAGTGGCATTGTAAGCATCTCAGGGCTGGCAGGGGTCTCCACGTGGCTCTTCCAGCCCCAAAGATCTGACTCCATCAGCTTCTGTCCAAGTGTCTTCTTCACAGGGATATCTCGCAGGGAGTGAGCATGTGTCCTGCCTCCTTAGCGCCTCCAAACGAGGTCAAGCTGCTATCTGATTGACAGCCTAGACTCCACCCCTTCCCTCTGAGTCCTCAAACTGACACCAGACAATGTCATTACCAGAGTTACAAACAAGAGGGTTTCACCATTTGAGAGTAGTAAAATTTCTGGATCGCTTGCAAAAGTAAACCCCTCCCTTCCTTGATCCCGTGGGAACAAGCAATTGGAACCCCAACCTGGGTGGCACAGATGATGACCAATGGTTGGGTGTTCGAACCCACCCATCGGCACCTCAGAAGAAATAGATCTTCCAACCAGATTGAGGTTGCTATGTGGTGCCGATTCTGACCATAGCAACCCCATGCACAGCAGAACAAACCCCTGCCCGGTCCTGTGCCTTCTTCACCCTGGTCTCCGTGCCGGAGCCCGTTGTTGCAGCCACGGTGTCCGCCCATCTCCTCAAGGGCCTGCCTCTTGTTCACCACTCCTCCACTTTCCCCAGCAGCATGTCCTTCTCCAGGGACTGGTCCCTCCGGACAACATGTCCAAAGTACGTGAGATGAAGTTTCTCCGTCCTTGCCTCTAAGGAGCACGCTGGCCTTCCTTCTTCCAAGTCAGTGTGGTTTGTTCTTTGAGCAGTCCACGGTATTGCCGAGGTTCCTCTCCAGCCGTGCAAGTCAAATGCACTGGTTCTTCTGATTCAGTGTCCAACCTTCACATGCATAGGAGGCCACGGAGAACACCATCGCTGGAGTCAGGCTCATGTTAGTCCTCAGAGTACCAGCCTTGCTTTTAGAACCTCTAAAGCGGCGGTTTTCGACCTGTGGTCGTGACCCCTTTGGGGGTGGAACGACCCTTTCACAGGGGTCGCCTGATTTATAACAGTAGCAAAATTACAGTTATAAAGTAACAAAGAAAATAACTTTATGGTTGGGGGTCACCACCACATAGGAACTGTATGAAAGGGTAGCAGCATTAGGAAGGTTGAGAACCACTGTTCTGAATATTAGCGCCAGTAAAACCCAATGCAGCCGCTCCACTGGGTCACACGTGGGGTCTTTAAAGTCAGAAACCAGCAGCCCAAGGCAGAAGTCCACAGCAAAAAAACAACATCCAGAGCTGAGTCTCTACTGCCTCTTCCCAGCTTACCATAGTCCTCGCCACCCGCTTGCCTTGCGCTCTTATAAAATTTGTTTCTGGCACAACTTCCTGGCTCACGTGGATACAAGACCTTATAAACATGCTGTGGAAGCTGCCAGTCTACCGCACCAGCTTCTACCGAGCCCTCTGTCCCCAGCCCCTGCCCCACCTTGGCTGTTTTCTCTGCCACGCAGGTGGTACTTTATGACCGACTTCAAGTTCCAGCTCCAACACTTCACTGTCATTTCCAGCTGACTGGGTTCTGGAGACTGGCTGCTGTGCGGTGTCATCGCGTCAGTCCCAACTCAGTGACCTGATTGGACAACAGCAGAACAAACCCCGCCTCTCCTGCCTCCCCTGCCCAGGTCATTCCCATGTGCAGCCGTGTCCTTGAAAGGCTTCCGCTTTTTCATCAACTCTGTACTGTGCCGAATGGAGAACGTGTCCACTGTACAGGAGACCAAGTCTCACCCCCTCACGTTCTCAGGAGCACTCTGGTTGTCCTTCTCCGACAGGTGGATTTGTTCTCTGGCAGCCCGCGCTCTTGCGCTCTTTCGGTATTCCTCACCGGTACCAGAACCCAAAGGCATCAGGTTTCTCTCCTGTCCCCCCACCCATTGTCCAACAGCCTATGGCTTTCAGCCGAACCTGGTGAGGCTTCTGTGATTCTTTGCTGTTGCCATTACCTTCCTTCTTGGTGGCCTGGAGCTTACCCCTGGGCTGTGACCCACACTCTCAGCCGTTTGAGGTGACCGGGGAGAAAGGTGAGGGTTTCTACTCCTGGAAGAAGCACGGGACAGTTCTACCCCATCCCACGGGGTTGTTATGAGTTGGAATCTACTCGATGGCAGGGAGGTTTTTGGTTTTTCTGTTTTGTTTCTAAGTCTCTATCACCTTCTGAAATAGCCCGTGACCCACGCCCCCTTACCACATTCTTCGTTCTCAAAAGGTCCCTGCATTGCCTTAAGAACGATCATCTTCACATACAACACAGGTTACATCTGCTACACGGCTCAGAATATCACCATCGGCGGTAGAAGAGCCAGAGTCCTCCGCCTGCGTGTGCGGTCCCCTGTCTCCAGTCTAGCTCACCTCCGGCTCAGTTTGTCCACGAATCCCCACCTAAGACTACCCTCAAACTCCCACCCCTCTGGCGGGCCTTCCAACCGGCCACAGAATTCTCTGGTGGGACTCAGGTTCTATTTAAGAGATGACAACTTTGCTTTAAGTAATGAGGTGTTTTTTTTTCTCCCCAGCTTAATTTGTAATGAGGAGAAAAAGTGCTTTGGCAGTACTTGTTGCTATGTCTTTCCAGGATGGTGTGAATCTCTGCGTTCTGTACATTGCGGCCCACTGACCTTTGCAACCACTCAACCGTTCTTTGATTCCAAAGTGACAGGCCCGTTAAAGCTATTCTGGGCTGTCTCCCCAACTCTGCAGCTTCTGGAGGGATGGCCGTGACACCAAAGCCCCCAACCGTAAGCCACCTGAGACTGCCGAGTCCCAGCCCCCCACGCTGGGGCCTGGGCACCCGAGTGTCTGCTGTGAGGGTCCCTCCCTGGACGGAGACAGCCTTTTCTTCAGAGACCCAGGAGACCACGACCCAAGGTGGGTTTCCAGAGCTGCTTCTTGTGACCCGGCCCCCTGGTGTGATGGGTGGATTATGCCAACCTGGCCAATAGAAACATGTGGGATTAATCAAGTCACAGTTTGATCGGGGAGGGCAAAGAGATAAATGGCTCTTCAAAGCCCACCCACCTCTCTCCTACTTTCTGGTGATTGGGTCAGTGTGTTGCTGCTTTAGCTAGTTCTCTGCCTCAACCTGTGTGCTATATTACCTTTGGGCCAAGCCAACCCCTGGACTATGTAGCTAGAGCTTGAGGTCCCTTTGAGACCTGCTTTGCCATGCTGCTGGTGTGTACATCATTTGAGTCTGAGGTTGGTGTATCCTGTTACCTTGCATTGCTTGTGTTCAATATCCCATCCGGGCCTACTTCACTAAGCTCCTAAGCTACTGACTGTAAGCTCCTAAGCTACTGACTGTTGCTGACCCACCCTGCTGTTTGCTGCCTGCCTTGCCTGAGGGACGACACCACTGTCTGCTTTCTTGACCTTGGACCCGGTGGCCCACGTGAGTCGAAGGACTTCTAGTATATTAACTATTCTATGAAAGTGAGTTGAACTGATCCCTCCATACTGCTGTGTGGACTAATTAGCTGTTATATTTCTTCTCACTGTATAAACCTATCCACATATATATCATTGTAAGTATCCCGGTTTTGTTTCTCAAGAGAACCATGCCTGACACACCTGGGGAGGCTCCAGTCACACCCTCTGCTCCGGATACCTACAGTTGCTCAAACCTACCCCACAACTAGGTCGTTTTCAAGTCTTCTCACAGTTCAGAGCCTGGAAGGCCATAATCAGCTCTAGAAAGAATACCTTCCTAGTTCAGCCGCCCTTAGTTTCTGGACATAGCTGTATCTGTCTTGTTCATCTCACCTCCATGCCCTCCATTGGTCTCTTTGTATGTGCAGCTCTTGTCACAGGGGAAGTGATGAGGTTTGGGACCCACCCTGCTCAGGTGCTGTCTGATGAACATACCCCGCAGACCTTCTATTTCCAAATAGAATTGCCAGACTCATGGTGACCCTTTACAGAGTGTCTGAGGCTCTGAATCTTTACAAGAACAGAGAGCCTCATCTTTCTACCTGGGAGCTGGGACTAGGTGGCTTGGCACTGCCCCCCTTTTGGTTAGCAGTCCATCGCTTGCTTGATGGCACCATCCAACCCAATAAAAAACAACTCCCTGCCATTGAGTTGATTCTGACTCACAGTGACCCTCCAGGACAGAGTAGAACTACCCCTGTGGGTTTCTGACAGTGTGACTCTTTATAGGCATAGAATTTCTCCAGTGAAGCTGCTCGTGTTTTGAACAGATGACCCTGCAGTTCACAGTCCAGTGTGTAACCCACTATGCCACCAGGGTCGCTAACCAGGACTCCTTATATTTGGGGAGCGGAGGGTACAGTTCAGTACAGAATACGCTCCCAACATTGGATAAGAAAGCTTCTCGCCTTTGTCTCCCATCTGTCGTTTCTCCCTCCGGCTTCCTGCAGGCTTACAGAAACCACGGAAGCCCTCTCCTCATGCCCCCTCATTCTCATCATTCATTCTGGCATTTCCACTCTGCTTGCTGGAAACAAGAGACCTGCTCATGACAGTCTGGGTCCAGTAGGAACAAGCCAAGCAACAAGTGTCATGGACATGACATTCTTCTGCAATCCATCTTAAAATATATATTTTTGAAATTTCTCAAGACCCAACACACAATCTCACTGCCACTGAGTCAATGCTGACTCATAGCAACCAGATAGGACAGGGTAGAACTGTCCTGGTGGGATGCCGAGACTGTAACTATGGGAATAGAAAGCCTCATTTTTCTCCCTTGGAGCAGCTGGTGGGTTTGAACTCCTGATATTGTGGTTAGCAGCTCAACACGTAAAACTAGGATGTCACTGGTGCTCCATTTAAGACCCATAGGGTGTTGTAAAAGTAGTACAGAAAGGTCCCTATAACTGCCCCAGCTTCCCCGTTCAGTGACAATATCTTACATCACACGGTCCGTTGCAGAACAAGCTCCTATACCGCAGGAATGCCTTTGGCAGTATGGCTCCTGAAACCCACACACAGTGGGGAAGGCAGCATCCCGAGGCATGGTCAGCTTGATTGGCAGTCATTGGGAAGTTGCACCAAGACGATGTCACTCACGTGAGAGGTATCCTTGCTGGCATGGCGGCAAGGGGATGCCCCCTTCCTACCATCTTCATGCACAGGAGTGGTGGTGTTGCCATAAAGGTGCCCAAAGTCATGCCGACCTGATCTCTGGGTCAAACCCACCATTGGTGCCACAGAAGGAAGGCCTGCCAATCTGCTCCGGGAAAGATCACAGCCAAGAACGCCCTGCGGAGTGCACTTCCCCTCTGCAGCGCGTGAGGGCATCCTGCGCTGGAACTGACCAGAGGGCAACATGTTCGCGATGGTTGGTTTTCCAGATCTCTAGGTGATGGTTATGCAAACAAGATTCTGTTTGGCCCTCTGCCAGGTCAGGGTGAAGTTCAACTCTTCAGATGCCGAATGAACTCACACACACATTGTGTGGGCCTTGAGAAAGCGCCCAGGCGCGCATCTGACCTCCTTTGCTTGCACAAAAGAGGCTCTCTCACCGACACTTAGTGACGCTACAGGACAGGGTAGAAATGCCCTTGTGGGCTCCTGAGACTATAACTGTTTATAGGGAATAGGAATCTCATCTTTCTGCTGTGGAGCAGCCAGTAGTCTTGAACTGCTGACCTTGAGGTTAGCAGCCCAACGTGCAACCCACCGTGCATGCCACCAGGGCTCCAGATGCAAAGGAAAAGGAGAATCTAAATCTAACCCAGTCAGAAGCCAATCCCCACAAGGCAGAGGGCAGCCATGCCTCAGCTCTCCATCCATCTTTATCTTGACGGACTCCAACCATCCCTCCTGGGCACTCGGCTTCTCAGCTGCGTTCTGTCATTTGTTCCCCTGTCCACACAGAATTCACAGACTCTGCTGATGATGACAGGGTTTATTGGAGGAGGCCCCCACAGCTTACCAAATGGTAGGGACAGAGTTCAGTTGTCCCCGGGGCCTCTTCCAGTCACACCGACAGCAATGCCTCTCTGGTCCTCAGCCTCTCAGCCTCTGTCCCCATGAGCCAGGGAGCCCGTCTCGAGGTTTCACGGCTGCCCCCCTGCTCTGTCCTAAGGTCCCGGTGCCGTGGCCACAAGCACACTCAGGTGGCCCTTCTCTCTGGAGGGTGTGGGGTCCTGGGTTCTTGCTTCTGAGGTGGCTCATTCATCCCCAAGCAATGGCAAAGCTGACCACGCCTGCCGATGAGTGCTTTCCACCCGTGTCTGCACGGCCCTGTCCAGTCATTGCTGGGACTTACAAAGGCATGGACAGAAGCACTCTCATGAAGTAATATCACATTGCTGTGGCCCTTGGAAGGAGCACTGGCGGTGTAGTGGTTGCACTTTGGGCTGTGATCCGCATGGTCGGCAGTTCGAAACCACAGGCAGCTCCGAGGGAAAAACACTGGACTCTCCACTCCCATAAAGAGTTAAATCCTCAGAAACCCACGGGGTTGCTGTGAGTCAGCATTGACTCCACGGCAGCTATGTATAGATCCCTTGGATGTGATCTCCATGTCTTGGCCATCGTACATTTGAGTCGATGGGATCTAGCACGTCAGAGACATGGGACTGTTGCTTTGAATGTGCAGCCACCTGGAGGGTGGCCAGACCCCATGGGTGGGTTCCGTGTGACTCCTGCTCTCAACTCAAGTCATCCGAGGTCACCTGGAGGGCATGCCTGGGTGACAGCCACATCACCCAAGGAGGCTGAAGAGGGCATGGCTGCAGGGCCTTTTGCCAGGGCAGTGGCTCCAGCTGACCGTGTGTGTCAGGCCAGCCCGACCTCAGGTGAGAGGTCAGCAGCTTCCACAGGACCCCCACTGACAATTAAACCTAGCGTCTCCCCTGACAGACCTGGTAATTTTTGCAAGTAGAAGTACACTAGGTTATAAAGCACTGTGCATCCTTCTTCTCTGAGTCCCGCCTTTCTTCTCGTCTTCAATGAGCAACCGCCCCTCTTTTCAGGGGCCTCCCCCTCCTCCCTTCATGAAACCCCTCCCCTCCCCGTGGCTTCTCCTTTCCTCAGCTTACTGCCCGTTGGGCAGCACTCCCTCGGGATGGGTCAGCATCCTTGTCAGGGAGGAAGATGATGAAGGTTGTGCTCCAATATCAGGGGGCAGGGTCCGTGTGTGTCTGTCTGTCTGTCTGTCTGTGTACCTGTGTGTGTATATCTGTCTGTGTGTGTATCTGTGCATGTCTGTCTGTGTACCTGTGTGTGTATATCTGTCTGTCTGTGTGTGTGTGCCTGTGTGTGTATCTGTGTGCATGTGTGTGTACCTGTCTGTGTGTTTCTGTGTGTCACTGTGTGTGTATCTGTCTGTCTGTCTGTGTGTCTCTGGGTGTCACTGTGTCTGTCTTTGTCTGTGTGTCTGTGGACCTGTGTGTAATGTCTATCTGTGTGTGTGCCTGTCTGTGTGTTTCTTCATCTACACTGTGGGCGCTTCCAGTGTGGCTTCTGTTTCTTACTCGGTTTGGAAGCCTCGGCGTGCGCTTTCTGGCACCGAGCGCTGTGTCCTCTGTGACCAGGACTGAACCGGTGGTCCAGCTCTTCTTCTTCCATGAGACGCGCCGTGAAGAGACTCAGACTTACCTCCCTCTATCTCCCCACAGGAATACACACCCCTGGGACCCAGACTCCAAGTCCCACCAAGGCCCCGGCCCCCAGATATCCACCGACAGGTGAGAATGTGGCTGGTCCGGAAGCCCGAATCCCACCAGGGGAAGCTGCAGCTTAGGGTGAATAGTGGGACGGGGTGCCAGTGCGCAGTCCAAACTTGGGGTTCCCTGCTCATTGTTCCCACATGAACTGATGTGCATATCATGCTGAATGGCCCTGCGAGTAGGTAGTCTGGGCCAATGGTTAGCACCATCAACTGTTAACAGAAAGCTCAAAGGTTTCCGTCTATCCAGAGATACCTCAGAAAGGCCTGGCAATCTTCATTCAAATAAATAAGCAAGCCCATCCATGAAAGCCCTGCATGACGGTTGTACTCCAACATGCATGACTGAGGTCACCACAAGTCAGAATCGACAGGATGACCCACAGCTGGCAGCTTCCTTGGCTGCAATGTCCCTACCCATGACGTCGCCTCACAGGCTGGAGGAACCTCCTGTCTTGAGTTGTTACGGTTCTGGGGCTGGGGCTATCGCCGGGGCCAGTGCACATGGGCTCTGAAAAGGCCTCTCTTGTACCTTGCAGGTGACCTCCCTGCCATGTGGCCGTATATCCCTGGGGACGAGCCGGGCCTGGTCCCAGGGCTCCAGCAGGTCTCGAGTGAGTGCTCAGCTGTCTTCCTCGCGTCTATTTTGAATGAGGTCGTGCAGAGCGGCAGAGGGGCCGTTGGGTTAATTTTGCTTCCCGACTGCCGGGTGGGTGCACAGCTGCCCTCCGGCGTGTAGTGGGGCAGTGGCCCCGGGCACAGGACTGAATCCAGGATTTCATTTTCTCAGCTCTAAAGGAGGATGAGGGCAATCCTTTTGAGCATGGAGATGTCCTTTCTTTCCTCCGACTCCGCGGGTTTTGTCAGAACCAAGACCCTGTGCGTGAAGGTGGGTGGTAACTGTAGAGGGGTGCCTAGCTCAGGGCCATGGGCACTTCCGGAGGGAGGGTGACTAAGTGATGAGAGGCGGGGGCTGCTGGAGGGAACCCTGGCTGTCAGCAGAGAGAGGGGTGGGTGAGGCTCACTCTGAATATCTGCATCCCCCCACCCCAACACACATACACACCCAAGTGGGAGTTGGTTTTGTTCCTTTTTAAAGACCAGTGCCTTCCTCACAAGAAGCCCTGGTGGTGTCACTGTGAAATGTTGAGCGGCTAACTGCAAGGTGGACAGTTCAAAACCACCAGCTGCTCTCTTCTCCTGTAAAGTCTCAGAAACCCACCGGGCAGTTCCACGCTGTCCCACAGGGCCCGCTGTGAACTCGGTGGATGGCAGAGAGTGGGAGTTTTAGAGCCTGGGCTTGGGACAGACCCAGGGTCTCCGGGCTGTGCCTCCCCGGCTCCCAGCCGCCACATTTCTCCATTTCCACAGAGAGAAACTGACATGGAGGGTGGCCTCCAAAGCCGCCTGGGTCCTCCCGCTGCTGGGTGGATTTCTATACCGTGTCCCAGGTGCCCCCTGAGCACTCTGGCAGATGTCAACAGGGTGTCATTAAAGTGCGGTGCCGACACAATCTCCTTTTTCATATCACCTACGATTGGCCTCAGACCCGCCCTCAGCCTGCAGTCAATGGTGAATGGGGCTTTCAGACACAAAGACTGGATTGTGCTACCTAAGCAAATGATAGCCCCTCGCTTCCCAGCCCCCACCAAGAGTTCTAAAGAAACACATTGGTGCTACGGGGGTGGGGGTGGGGTGGGGGGGTCAGCCTGAGCATGAGAAGACAAGGTGACTATAGATCTATTCATCTATATCAGGTTATCTATCTCCTATCTGCTCTGTCCACCCATCCATCCACTCACCTATCCATCTAGGTATCATTCTACCTAGACTTAGAAATATAATTGTGAAAGAAATTTCTCTGGCCCCTTCCAGTAAATGCCTCTGCTCATTCACCGAAACCATGCCCCCGACTTTGGCATTCCCTCATCGACATTTACCTTTTCAAGGAACAATTGCTGAGCTCCTACTATGTGCTAGACACCGGGCTAGGCCTGTTGGGACTTGCTCTCTGTAATAGTATACAGGGTAGGTTATGGCATCTAGCAGCCTAGTCAATACAAGCCAACTAAAGAGAGCCAAGGAGGCACTGCATTGGGTGACTCTGCTGCAGAGGGCCTCTTTGAAGTGTTGAGAAGCAAGGATGCTACTTTAAGGACTACGATGAGCCGTGGTATTTTCAGTCACCTCCTATGCACCTTGGACACGGAGTGAGGAAGGCTGGAGAAGAACCAGCGCATTTGAATGGTGGTGCCCGTAAACAATATGGGACCGCCATCAGGACTAACGGATCTCTCTTGGAAGAAAGACACCCTGAATGCTCCTTCGAAGCAAGATGGAGAGACTTCATCTCACATACCTTGGACACATTGTCCCGAGCGACCAGTCCCTGTAAAATAGCATCCTGCTTGGAAAAGTAGAGGAGCTGTGAAAGAGGAAGACCCTTGACAACATGCAGAGACGTGATGGCTGCACCCATGGGCTCAAGCAGAAGAACGATTGTGGGAATGGGGCAGGACCCAGCGGTGTGTCCTTCTGTTGTGCACGGGGCCAGAGCCGACTCAACAGCACCTGACAACAGCAAAGGTGCACGGAGGGGCCCTGGTGGAGCAGCAAGTTACAGGCCGGGCTGTACCTGCAGGGTCAGCAGTTCGAACCCACCAACTGTCCCAACCCTGGAAGACTCTCAGATCCTGAGTTACAGCCTCAGAAACCCAAGGGGGCAGTTCGCCTCTGCCTTATGTGGGTGCTATAGGTCAAAATTGACTTGTTGGCAGTGAGTGAGTGAGTGAGTAAAGCAATCACACTTAAACACTCACTCACTCGCTCACTCAAGGTCATCACGTCCTTGTCCACTCATAGCAACCCCATAGGCAGGGTAGCATTGCCCCTGTGGGTTTCTGAGACTGTCACTCTTTATGGGAGCCTCATCTTTCCCCTGAGGAGTGGCTGGTGGTTTCAAACTGCTGATCTTGTGGTTAGCAGCCCAGTGCATAACCACTACCACCGGGGTTCCCCCAGGGATGGTACACACCCTCAGGAAGCTGCTACTTCCCAAGCTGTCTGCTAGACAGCACCACTGCTGCAGCATGCATCTACTCCTCCTCTGTGCTTGTCTCCAAGGCTGAGATTGGGTTTCTTGACATACTAAGTAATTCTTTGGTGGAATAGCATTATTAATGCATGAATATAATAATCTTCAAATCACTCCAAAGTCAGTTCTGTGGGCGGTAAGCACTTTTCTCTCTAACTCATTGTTCTTCTTAGTGTCTCATGGAAGTGCCTGGTCTATAGCAGATACTCAACAGATTTTACAAATCAACCAATCAATCAATATTGTTGGCAGCTACCATGCATTGTTTATCCAGGTATTATTGGATATGTAGAAGATTTGATATCACTTAATCCCCCCAGTGACCAGAGTGGTAAGAATAAAACACTGAAGCCAAACTCACTGCATTGAGCCTATCTGACTCGGTGCGCTGCTCACTACAGGACAGGGTGCACCTGCCCCCGTGGGTTTCCGAGACTGTGATTCTACACAGGCATAGACAACCTCGTCTCTCTCCCTCAGAGTGGCTGGTGGTTTTGAACTGCTGAGCTTGCTGTTACTAGCCCAATGAGTAACAACTAAGCCACCAGGGCTCCTTTAGGATGTCCCAAGTAGAGAGCATTTTAAAAGAAGCTCTACTACCCCTTCTTTTGTCCATTGCAGCCTTCTTCTAAACACAGGGACCCAAATCACGAGAAAGACCTGGCTTATTGAAACACACTCAATCAGCACTCCCCAACCTGCAGATGTGGAGAGCCTAGTTCCTGCCAGCCTCCTCTTTTGACGTGTCTCTCCTCCTTGCACCCCCGCATTCATACGCACACACACATATGTGTTCATAGACATATACCCCACATGCACACACGTTTATCAACACAGGCATGCACATACATGAATGTGAACATAAATGTATATGCATGTCCCCCCCCACATATACATGCACCCACTATCACCCATGCACATACACATACACGGCACCATCTGTACCATCCATTGATTCTCTGTCTCCATCAGCAAGCCTTCCCCTAACATGATGCTGAGCCACGTGCATGTTGCCCCTCTCACCTGATGCACTCTGACTGATGCATTCCCGCTCAATATTTTAGAGCGTCCTGATCTCTCTTCCCAGGGGAGAGTGTCTCTGACTGCCTCCAGGGCCTCAGGCTCCCCTCTTCCCGCTCACTCCTTCTCAGAACCCCACAGCAAAGGCCCCTCACAGTGGCGAACCATGAATAGGTTTCCCCGCCTGACTCAGAGCTATGTGGCAGTAGGGTAAGCCTGCATCCACCCTGCATGCTTCCCACGACGAGAAGATGCTAGGTTCTTGCTGATTTACCTCATTGGGTCTGGGATTGCATCTTCTAGGGTGTCCTCAGCCGCCCCTCCAGGAAGGCGCCTTGACCGCTCCGCCTCACCCCCTGACCATGCAGAAGATCAACCCCTGCCTGATGGAGCTGTGTCAATTTTTCCAGCAGTGCCTGTGCGTGAGCCAGAGGAGGACTCCCAGTACAGAGGCCATGAGGTAGCCCAGTCCCTCACTGGTTGGTACACCCACTGGTGACAGGCAGCCAGGACCATGTCGGGACCTTTGTGAAGTTCAGTGAGGTTGTGGGACAGATGGTGGGCCACTGTCTTTAGCCAGCATCCCTATCTGAGACAAGTCTTCACTTGGGTTACCACATTTTTTCCCAAACTTTTTATTATGCATTTTATTATACACTATTATTTTTATTATGCATTGGAATCAGTTGTCCATTCCACGATTTGTACACTTTTTGTGTCGTGTCACTGATTGTGATCTTTGCAATGTCACATCGCTTATCCCCCTAATATGAAACTAATGTTTCAGATTAGTCTATCTGCCCTCCTTTCCTACCTCCCGAGATTCACCCCTTGACAAAGGCTGCCCTTTGGATGAGGAATGGTGGGTTGTTCAAAGGAATGTGTACCCCCCTGTGGTTATTGTTCACCTTATAAGCCTGTCTATTGTCTGACTGAAGATTGAGCCATGAGGGGTGAGCTCCAATCCAGGCCTGAAGGGTGGTGAAGGGCACAGTCTCAGGGGCTCCATCAGTCTCTGTCTGTCCAGTAAGCCTGGTCTTTTTTATGACTTTTAGTTTTGTTCTAGATTTCTCTCCCCTTCTGACCGGGATCTCACACGATCCCTTTCACGTGGTTGTTACGGGTAGCTGTATTAGTCTGGGTACTTTAGAGAAAAAAATCCACAGCAACTTATGTATAAGAGAGTTTTATGTAATGAAAGTGGGCATCACGAAGACATCCCAACTCAATGCTGCCCGAGCCCACAAGTCCAACATTAACCCATTAACCCAACACCAGTCCACAAAGTCCTCCACCTCACAAAACAGAGGCAATGATGCCAACTGCAGGAGGAAAGCTGAGTCAGTGAACGAATAAGCATCTCAGCACTGGCAGGGGTCTCCACACGGATGCTCCAGCATCCAGGGCTGCATCAGGATAGGTCCATGTGGCTTCTCCTAGGGGATGTCTTGTAGGAAGTCAATCTTGCAAGCTGAAGCAGGGAACTGCTAAGGCAGCTGCACCCTAGTGCGACCATCACAAAGCAGGAGATCCGAGAGCTAGAAAGGCGAGGCTCACCACCCATTTATCCCTCCTCCTTCAATTAGCCCCACATGTGATTATTGGCCAGATTGGCACAATTAACTAACTCAGTAGCCAAGAACCATGTCGTTCTCCTCGTGTTAGGGTCTTGGCATGGAAGCCAAGTTTCCCATGGCTCATTATTCCATTGGGCTAGTGGTTCCATGAGTCTTCCACGGTTTTCACTCTTCCTTGCTCCAGGCAGGGAAAGACCCGTGCTTGCACATTGCGTGGCCGGCTTCATACCTGGGTAACCGCCTGCAAATCGGTTCTCCTCCTTGACTTCCCATAAGCCACCAGTCTTCCCCTCCACACTTTCCATTCCTATCTTCGGTGGGAAGAGCGAAGCAGACGGAACCCTTGAAGTCGGGCTCTCCATTCTTTCCAGGGGAGCGCTTCTTGGTCTGGGTAGTCCTATGTGGGTTGGAATGACTCTCTACCTCGTCTTGGCACATAACTGGATGCGCCAAGGCCTACAGAGCACCATGGATTAGAGACCTACAGGCTTACTCTGTCCCTCATCAGCCCCAATCTTCCCCCAGACCAGTGTGCTCAACGGAGACGAAGCAGCTCTATACTGGAGGGTTCCGGGAAGTGTCCCCTAGCAGGGCAGAATGGGAGGGTCATACTATTTGGAGTTGTGGCTTTTTACCCCAGACAGATTCAAGATTTGGCAAAACAATGCCTTACTGACGAAGCCTTGAAAGGGCGTTCGCTAGCAATAGGATTCCACTCCGGAAATTCTCTTTCTCCTCAACTGCTATCCCTTGCATGTTCATCTCCTGTTTGGGTTCTCAGTGCCATCCTTGGGCCACACCATCCCTCCTTGCAGGGTGACAGAACTCTGTCCCTTTCCCTCCTGGTGTCTTATAAACTGTTGCCTCAGGACCCAGACAGATAACAAGGGCTACTTGTCTGCCTGCTCCTGCTGACTCCCCCAAAGTGGGTAGCAGTTCAGGGACAGTGGAATGCTTCTACTCAATTTCTGGCCCATGCGGTCCATGGCATTGCAGCTGACCCCTGCCCTGAAGACAATACAACACACACCTCATTAACAGATTTTCTAAGACCAGCTGCAGGAGAAATGCCCCTCTAGTCTCATAGGCAATGGGAGCCGCTGGATGGCATGGTAGATTACATGTTGGAGTAACCCAAAAGGGGAAATTTCAAACCCACTCAAAGACTGGGGAATAAGTGTTGGTGACCGGCTGTCCCAAGGCCACAGTCTTGCAAACGCTACGGAGCCATGGTCCTCTGCACACTCAGAGTCACCATGAGTGGGAATTGACTCAAGAGCAACTAACACCAATAAAAGCAATCTATGAAAGTCCATCTTCTTACGTACACGTCTTTAATCCCACTCATCACCCCTTAATAACTGTGGACAATTGGGATTCCTCTGCCTTACCCTACTAGCTGCGGGTATCTGGGCCAGAGGACTTGGATAGGTGGGATCATGTCCAACCAGTTTGTCTCCTGGTCAGAGAGGGAGGGAGGTTCAGTTACTGCGAGATCCAGATACTCTTCCCTCCTTCCTCCTCTTGTCACTCCCTCTGAAGATCGAACCAGCTTCCCAAGGAAGGTCCCTGGCTGTGGGGAGTGGCCACGTGTTACTCTCCATGTTGCTCTCACAGCCACAGCAGGACACTGGCTGCTTCTAACCCGATTGATACCTGTAGGTACTGCCTGGAACACTATTCCTGGTTTCTGAAGAACGCAACCTATGTCTGCCCGAGGGTGAAAAGGGTGGCCCACTCCCGCAGTAAGTACACGACTTGTGCATCTTGAACAGGAATGCGCTAGACCAGGGCTCAGCCAACTGAGGCTCTCAAGCCCTGGGTGATTCCTCCAGGACGCACACACGGCTCTTCCATAAAATTGCAAATGAAAACAAAACTGCCGTCACCGCATTGATGAAAGTCTTAAAGGATGTGTTACTGGTCCTGATGGCTTCATTTGTTTGTAAAAATAGGTTTAGGGTCCTCAAAGTAATTTTTAAATTGTTGTGAGGCCCAGATTGGCTATTCCGTCTCAAAACTGTGCTGATCCCTGTGCTAGCCAAAAGGGTCCTATACTTCTGGGTGATCTCCTGCTGTAATAGAGGGCGGGCGGGCATGATGCCAGTTGTCTCATCATCAGTAGTTCTGGAGAAGAGGGTCTAGGCTGTGGCTCACTCCCCAGCACCTAACAGCGTGCTGTTGGCTATAAAGTCAAGGAGGGAAATGCAGGCGTCGGCCAGACCGTGCACAGTCGCTTCCTGAGCATCTCGGCATCTCCGTGTGAGCTCAGTAAGATGCACAAAGCAGAGCAAGACCCGAGAAAGATAAAGCCCCACACAAGCACTCCAATTCCCCCACCACACACAACGGCGGCCAGTAGTTCAAGAACAGGACAAAACAAAGAGGGCATGTCAAAAGTAGGGGAAATGGCCACTCTTTGTCCTATTGACTTCCACACCCCACTCCCTCCCTGCCTCCCCCTGACCCAGGAGAGGGGCCAGGCATCTGCTTTGTATTTTTTCTTCCATTTCTGCACCCCAAAACAACCACAATAGGCTATCTGGCCACCAGACCAATGGCCCAGACTCTCCAACATCAAGGAAGCTGGGCTTCTAAACTCGTTTTCTCAAAACTGGATTCCACTTCATGAAACATTATTTCTTCACATAACCCAAATAGGACTTGGAGTTCACATGGCCCCAGTCTTGACCAGGTTTTATATTAAAGCAGCGACCAGTTGAGCCACCCAATCTTTCCTTGTGGCTCTCAGAGAATGTCTGGTGGGATCGGAGGGGATCTGACGGGATCCGATGGGCTCCCTGGTGACATTCTGTAGAAGCTCTTCCTAGTCCTTTGCCCTCCCATCCCACGGCGGCCATCTCAAACCTTTCTCTGTTGCGTTTTCCAACACACCGCTCGGTCCTCTCCTCAAGCCAAAGCTCTTCTCTGTGCATCTCTGGCTTTTCCTTGTATCTCGACCCCCCTTCCCTCACAAACCAGGCCTCCTGCTTCTTGTGCGCATCTATCAGCCCACTTCCCGGGCCTTCCCTTTCCACGCCTCCTTCCAGCACAAGGTCAAGTATAAGGAGTATGAGGTCTGAAGTCAGAAGGGAACCCAAAAGAGAGAGAGAAGCCCTCTCGCTGGTGTGGAGGAGAAACTAAACGCTCCTGAAAACACAACTGAGCAGCTCTCCGTTCATCCTTCCATCCTTTCATCACTCCACCAACTCTTCTTTGCACATCCCCAGACGATGCTCCTAGGGGGTATGCAAGTTTCAATGGCTGCTGTCAGGTGTCCTTGGGCTGGTGACGTCACGAAGCTGCCTGAGGTACAACAGGCCCAAACCCTGTCTGTCCTCCTGGGTGCTGTCCCTGGAGGCTATTGCTACAGACCTGTGTGACCCCATTCCACAGAGGATTGTCCTCTTTTTCACGGACCCCCTACTTTACCAAGTTTGATGGCCTTCCCCAGGGCTGGTGGGGGTCAGTCAGACGCAGGTAGGTACTATTGCTATGTACCATGGACTCAGTTACAACACAACAGAAGGGAACACTGCCCAGCCCTGCCCCGTCTTCACTATGGTTCCCTGTGCTTGAGCCCATGGTTGCAGCCACTGTGTCCATCCATCTCCCTGAGGGCTCCCTCTTTTCCTCTGCCCTCCACTTTACCAAACATAAAGTCCTTCTCCAGGGACTGGCCTCTCCCATTCACATGTCCAGAGTCTGGAAGAGGAAGCCTCGCCATCCTTGCCTCTAAGAAGCACTCTGACCGCACTCTTCCAAGCTGGGTACTTGAAGGGTGGGGGAAAGGCCCTGAGCAGAGACTGTAGAAATGAGGGTCTGTGCTTGATGTGACTTTACTGTTAACCAGGAGTCTCATAACAGTCCGTCACACTCTCTAACCTTGACTCTGAGCGCCTCGCAAACAAGACCCTGCCCCATGCTTGTCCCCTGGAAGAGCCTGGGCCATTCCTGAGCTTGGCAGGTGTTCGCTGATGCCTCTGAGCCTGCGTCTCTGGTGATGTTGCTGTCTCAATCTCCTTCATCCTCAGCATTAAAGCAAAGGTGCCTTGCGAACATCTGCAAGTCCGTGTGAGGTCGAGAGAAACCCAGCCGCACAGCAGCAGGTCAAGCAGCCTCCTCGCTCCCGGGCCGTGACCGCGGATTCACCCAAAGCGACCCTTTCCCAAAGTAGCCTCTCTTTCTCTCTCCACGGGGCTGATGGTAGAAATGAGAGCAAAACCAGCTCATGGGCAAAAACTTAGGCTCGCCATGCTGTGGGGTCTACAGGGTCTTCCAAGCCGCCTTGGGAGAAGACAAAGAGCTCCTTCCTCCGGGGATAGTGGAGGGAGCCTTTCTGGTCGAGGTGGGGCCTGGATTGTTCTGTGTCCCCCTATAGTGAGACATCCCCACGACCACCCTCAGCTTCACTGGTTTTGTAGCGGGACCCACAGTCCTCAGAACAGCGGCTATAGTCACCGCTGCAGTGCATTCCAGCAATGGAGAGAGGTTAAAACTAGCAACCGCAGAAGGCACCCAGGCCAGAGTCCAGGAGAGAACAGGTATGAACAAGCTGCCAGCTCCCAGGTAGTTGCATAAACATCGCTTAACTCTGTCTGCAATAACGTAGGGAATGATACCTGGAGTGCTGTCAACTCAGGAAGTTCACCTGATCCCCGAAGTTTCTTATTAGGGGTTGACTTTCAGTCTCAGCCTCTCCAGAAACCCAACTGTGTGCCCACCCACCAATCCCCCCAAAACAAACTCACTGCTATGGAGTCGATGTGACTCACAGAGACCCTACAGGACAGGGTAGAACTGCCCCTGTGAGTTTCAGAGACCGCAACTTCTTGTGAGAGTAGAAAGCCCCGTCTTTCTTCCAAGGAGCGGCTGGCGGTTTCCATCCTTGTGGACTGCAGCCCAAGGCGTAACCACGATGTCACCAGGGCTCCTCGAAGACCCGTACAAAAAGACATAGAGCACGGTGGCCTGGCTGCAGGCCGTAGGTGAACAAAGACGTTCTTCCCAGGCAGGTCCTTCCAAGATGTTAGAGGTTGCCATCCAGAACGTGCTTTGAACGCCCCACACCTGCCGAGTCAACCCTGTCCTGCACTCCCATACGGTGAGGCGTCCCTTTGTTGGATCTGGATTCAGGCCTGCAACTGCCTCACTGGCCTTTTAAGTAGAGTCTCTGCACACGGCACAGGCTTGCTGTGATGCCCTCTCATGGCCCCGTGGTCCCTGTCTTTCCTCATCATGGTGTAGCTGGCACTTGTGCCCCCTCTTCCCTCAGCCCTCTGTCTGGGCAACCACTTCTGCTCTCTAGTGAGAAGAGTCATTTCCTGCTTGGAGTATAAGCATCCTTCGCCCACTGAAAGACACCCGAGGGCCCTGCACCACCTATGAGCAGCGAGGGACTTGGGGGGAGAGAACTTGAACCTTGGGGAGAAAAGCAGTCAGATGCCTCCCTGGCTGGCAAGGCCCAGGACTAAGCTTGTCATCTCTACAATGTTTGCTAGACCCTCAAAGTCCGGCAACTATAGAGCTCAGAGATACCTGCCGCGCTGGCCTTCAGGGGCCAAGATGGGGCCCTGGAATTGTCACATTTGAAAAGGACACAGAACATTTGCTAGAGGCACAGGGCCCCCTACCCAAATGGGAATCAAGACACCAACCCTCTTTATTGGGTGCGACTGGACCAGACTCTTTCTGAAGGATAAAGTTGATACTAAGGACTTGGGCCATTAAGAGTCCCCAAGGTTCCCTCCAACACTCGCGAATCAGTGGAAGGAAGGGGTGGCCAGTGGAAGGAAGAGCTTCAACACCTGAACCCTCCATTGTGTGGACCCAGCCAGTCCCTGCTTGGGAATCACCACTGAGTGTGGCCATCTGGGGTCCGACCTAGCGGCCAAGGACAAGTGCACAGAGGACTGGATGGAATTGGTTTTCTGTGGTCACGCCAGAAGTCACAGCAGCAGCAGGAGCAGAGTGGGCCTGGAGCGAATGGACCAGCACTGTCCCCTGGCCTCGTAGACAGGTTGGCTGCACTGCAGCATTATAAGTCTTCACTGCAGGATGCTTAGGACCACGGGGAGGCCTCCTGCTAGCCTGTGGGCATGAGGTCACCTGTGCTAAGGCAGGAAAGGAAAGGGCTGTGGTTGTACCAGGTATACCAGGTGATGAAGGGGTGCCTTCAGGTCCACAGGTAGCTCATTAAATAGCATGCACTGCCCGTCCCAGCCCAGTCTCATTCTGCTTCAGTCCCTGAAGCCCCGCTGTGTGTCCAGGGGCTGGAGGGGAGGAAGAAGGGCACCCACGTGGACTGTACTTGTGTTTCTAGCCCGTGTGTGTGTGTGTGTGTGTGTGTGTGTGTGTGTGTGTGTGTGTGCACATGCGTGTGCACTCCTATGTGCATGTCTCTGTGTGTATCTACACTTACTTCTGCTTAAGTGCTTCTGTGCCGCAGCTCGGTGTGAGTGAAGAGCCAGGCGCCGTCAGTCAGACCTACGTCTATAATTTTAAACTCTCCCAGGACAGCGCTCCACCCCACTCTGCCTACATCCTTGGGAAGAACTTCAGTCTCACACCAACCCACCAACATAGAAAAAAAAGAGTCTCTGCTTTGGGGAATTTTGTAGACCAGTGATTCTCTCTCATGAAGGGCAGTTTTGCCCCCCTTCTTTCCCACTGCTCCCAGGGGACATTTAGAAGTGTCTAGAGACCATTTTGATTGTTGCAATTTAGGAAGAGGATGGTACTGGTATCTAGTTGATAGAGATGCTGTTCAATACTCCCCCGCCCCCCAGTGCTCGGCACAGTCCCCACTCCTCATATACACAGTAAAGAATGATCTTGCCCCAGATGGTAGTGGTGCCTAGACTAGGATTCCCTGTTGCAGGCCCTCATGGGAAGGAGCCTTCTCCCAGCCCGTGAGAGCCCCAGAACCACCCTCTCACAGAGGGATTGAGCGTCATTGCCTCTTACATCCCACTTCTAACACTGACTGAAGATCGGCTGTGCTGTCTGCTGGTGAGAGGGCTGGGGACCCTCCTTCCTCCCATGCACAGGAAAGAACGGACAACTATTCATGACCCAGATGCCACAGCTCCATCGCGCAAGGACAGTTCCTCATGAGGAGAAAATCCTCAGCGCATTTCCTCACGATTCAGGGTCTGACTCAACACAAGCCCAAAGGTTGGCGGTTCTAACCTACTAGCTGCTCTGTCGGAGGGGATGGGGCAGTCTGCTCCATAAAGGCTTTGGGAACCCATCTGGTGGAACGCTGTGCTCGATAGGGTGATCTTCCATGCGTCCATTTCCAGGTGTTTCTTCTGAGGCGCCTCCAGATGGAGTCGAACCTCCCATGTCTCCATGGCAGCACACCTCCATCAGCACCACTCAGGGACAGCCTAGGACACACAGGTGCCCTCCTCTGGGCCACCTTTGCAGGACTATCCCATGGAACTGACATGGGTGCCTCTGCTGAGCAGGGACGCACCCAAGGATGCCTGCTCTCAAGCAGCAGAGCTGGAGCTAGCGTAAAATGTCTGCTTCCAAGGCCCCGTCCCTTCCTGACCCACAGCTTGGTCAGGAAAGTCCCATCCAAAACCCATTGCTGCAAGTCCATTCCCACTCACAAGGGCCCCGTAGCAAAGAATAGAGCTCTAGGGTTCCCCAAACCTTTATGGAGCGGACTGCTCCATCCCTCTCCAACAGAGCCGCTAGTAGGTTAGAACCACCTACCTTTGGGGTCTCAGCTGAGTGCTGGTAAGCACTCACATCACTACCAAGGCCCTAAAGACAGCCCGCACGACCCATTGGGTCAATTCATACTCACAGCGACCCTACCGGTCAGGCAAGCACAGCCCCCTAGGGCTTCAGAGCTGGCATGCCTTTACAGCAGCAGAAAGTCTCATCTTCCTCCTGTGAGGGGCTGCTGGGTTTGAACTGCTAGTCTTGCAGTTAGTGTCCCAGTGCCTAGCCCACTGTGCCACCAGGGCTCCTTTCCAAAGGAGCACGGCATCAGGTTCCCAGGCCTGCAGCCAGGTGCGTGGAAGAGCCTCCAGGCCCCTCTTGCCGAGACCGAACCAGTCAAACAAAGTGACCCTTTCTCTGTACGGGTCTGGGGGTAGGGGTGGGGGAGGGTTTCTTCAGCTCTTCCATCCTTCATCTCCCCAGTGACCCTGAGATGTAATCCTTGGGTGCCCGCCCCGCCTTCGGTTGAGGGGTATGGAACAGGGGGGTCATTGTTCTCTAATTAGAGGCTGCCTCTCCTCAGAGGCTCACCCAGCAGCCCCCGAATATGGCCTGGCCCAGTGCCAAGCCATAGCATTACCAGGTCCCCTCCCCAGGTGGCAACCCCCCTGCCCCTGCCATCCCCATCACTGGCCAGCTCTTCTGAAAAGCCTTGGGAGGAGGGGGAGGGAGTCACATGACTCAGGAGCATTTTGTGGGGTATAAAGGGCCCAGCCTCTACCTTGTTCAGAGCCACAGGCTCATCCAACTGCATCCCCGTGGGACCGTCACGGTAGGAGCCCTGGTCTCCTGATGGGGTGGGACCAGGGAGGGAGGCCGGGAGGCAGGGTGGGTGACTCCCGAGGGGGTCAGACGCCTGCATGCTACTCCAGGACAGAGATCCCGACGGTCTGAGTGGGCTCTGAGCTCTTGTAAGAGGCCTTGCAAAGCCAGGCTGCTGCACCTGTGAACAGGCCTGGACAAAAAACTCGCTCACAGCCACTGAGTCCACTTAAATCCTGGGACCACTGTAGGCCAGGGTAGAACTTTGCAGGTCGTGGTAGGTAGTTTGCGGCAGCCCTGCATTGAGCAAGCCCCTCCAAGCCACTCTCCTGACAGCCGATGCACCCTTGGTGGCTGTTCTCTCAGTAGTTCCCATCATGCTGTGGCACACACACAAGTCCTGGTGGCATAGCGGTGATTTTCAAGGTCAGCAGTTCAAAACTGCCAGCTGCTCTGAGGGAGGAACACGGGCTGTCTACTCCAGGAAACAGGGACAGGCTCAGAAGCCCCCTGGGGCAGGTCCACCCTGTCCTATAGGGTTGCCCTGAAGGCAGTGAGATGGCACGCGTTTTTAGGATA